AAGGGAAAAAAAAAAAGGGAGAGACAAACCAAGAAACAGACTCTCAACTCTAGAGAACGCACTGATCATTACCAGAGGGGAGGGGGGAACCAGGTGATGGGGATGAAGGAGTGCACCTGTTGTGATGAGCTCCACGTGCTATATGGAAGTGCTGACTCCCTATATTGTACACCCGAAACTAATATTACACTGCAGGTTAACTAACTGGAATTTAAATTAAAACTTCTTTAAAAAATCAAGGGCAGGGGCGCCTGGGTGGCTCAGTCAGTTAAGCATCTGCCTTCGGCTCAGGTCATGATCCCGGGATCCTGGGATCGAGCCCCGCATCAGGCTCCCTGCTCACCAGGGGAGTCCGCTTCTCCCTCTCCCTCTGCCCCTCCCCACCCCCACCCGCTCATGCTCACTCACTCTCAATAAATAAGTACAATCTTTTAAAAATAAAAATTTTAAAAATAAATAAAAAATCAAGGGCATCATCAAAACACATGATCAACATTATCAAACAGTGTTTATTCAACAAATAGTTATCAAAGGCCTACTATGTACCAAGCACCGTGTAAGGCAGCAGGCACGCCAGAGTTCATGAACATCACAGTCCTAGCACTCCCAGAGCTTAGAGCAGGGGAGCAAAGATGTGAACCAGGTCACCACATACATGGCAGGTAAATTATGGGAGTGGTTCTGCAGGAACGTGCAGGGAATGACAGAGTCTGATGGTGGGGAGGGCTGGATGCTCAGAAAATGCTTTTCTAAGGGAGGACTGTTGAACTAAGAACCAAAAAGGGAGGAGGACCAGAGCAGGGGAAAGGAGAGGGCGCCATCTGAGGAGGCTAGAGCTCAAGTAGCAAGGGTGTGGGTGGGGGGATGGCTGGGAGACAGCAGACAGGTGCTTTCCAGTGGTCCTGACCTCACGAGAAAACACAGCTCAGGGTCAGTGTGTGTCCCCCAAGGTGTGGGGGACAGTCATGGGGCCCCATGCCCTGAAGAGATGGCTGAAGCAGGGTCAGGTGACACCTCCTCAAAGGCCCTGTGATTCCCTGCCCAGTCCCACAACCACAGAGCCAGAAGAATGCTTCCAAAAATGGGATTTTCCCCAACTTTCCAGATTCATAAAAGAAAAAAAATGTCATTCAATATCTGATGTAAACATATTTTCTTGTAACGTACAGGTTACTGTTACGTTACAACGTACAGGTTGCTGGACATGGCTGGGGTTTGGGGCAGTATTTTGCATGTATTCAATTTCCTATATGTTCACCTCAAAAAAATCCAGATGCCCCTGTTAGCCCAATGCCAAACTGGCCCAGAGGAATCAAAACAGGGGAGAACGAGGGATGGATTTTAACAGCCGCCTGCAGTGACCTAGAGGACTCAGGAGGGGACTGTGGGGCAGGGACAGCAGGCCTTTCAGCACAAATCCTGGGCTCAGCCATCCCGTGGAGACTGAGGACACTCCCTGGTGGGCCAGGGACCTCCTTTCCTCTGGGGTCCCCGGCTATAAGCAGAGATCAGGCTAAGTCCAAGCCCAGCCCTCAGTGAAACTTGCCTGCACACTAGTCCTGGAGATGGGGGCCTCCCAAAAGGTGAAATTCAAGATCCTCCTCTAAAGGCCATCTTCCATGCTGAGCTTCCTGCTGGAATGACCAAGACAATGATCCTTCCCTCCTTGTCCTCTCTGCCCCTAAATCCCAGCAAAGGCAGGGTCTCCAGGCAGCCACCATGAAGACAAGGAGATGGGGAGGAGCCCTCTACTGCCCTCTGGTGTCCACCCATCAACCAGATTTCGGGCAAGTCCATGATGGCTTAGTGAGCAGCTTACTGCTAGAGAGGCAAGCTGACCCTGGTACACCACCTCTTCTCTGGGTATCAGTTTCCTCATCGGTAAGAGACAGAAAACACTAATTCAAAAAGATATATCCACCCCTAAGTTTACTGCAGCATTATTAACAATAGCCAAGATATGGAAGCAACAGTGTCCCTCAATAGATGGATATGAATGAAAAAGATGTATACACATACAATGAACCATTACTCATCCATAAAAAAGAATGAGAACTTGCTATTTGTGACAACATGGGTGGGCCTAGAGAGTATTATGCTAAGTGAAATATGTCAGGTAGAGAAAGACAAACACCATATGATTTCAACTATATGTAGACTCTAAAAAACAAAACAAATGAGGGGCGCCTGGGTGGCTCAGTCGTTAAGCGTCTGCCTTCGGCTCAGGTCATAATCCCGGGGTCCCAGGATCAGGCCCCGCATCGGGCTCCCTGCTCAGCGGGAAGCCTGCTTCTCCCTCTCCCACTCCGCCCCTGCTTGTGTTCCCTCTCTCACTGTCACGCTGTATCAAATAAATAAAATCTTAAAAAAAAAAATGAAAAACAAAACAGAAAGAAACTCATAAATACAGAGAACAAACTGGTTGATGCCAGAGAGGAGGGGACAGGGAGATGGGCAAACAGGTGAAGGCGATGAAGAGGTACAAACTTCCAGTTATAAAATAAATAAGTCGTGGAGATGAAGAGTACAGCATGGGGGATATAACAGTATTACAGCAATGTTGTATGGGGACAGATGATAACTATACTTATCCTGGTGAGTGGAGCATAATGTATAGAATTGTCGAATCACTAGGTTGTACGCCTGAAACTGATATAACATTGTATGTTAACTGCTCTTCGATCACTCAATCAAGAGACAGGACTGAGCCACAGTGTTGAGAAAGACAACACCAGCCCCTAAGCAAGTGAACAAGGAAGGATAGTCACAGGGGCGCGGGCTAACTGTCAGGGAGCCAGAGGGTACCACCAAGGGGTCACTGGGAGCCCCAAGAAGCTGGGGAGCAGATGGGGTGGGCAGAATCCCAAAGGTGAGGACCAGGCAAGGCAGGAATGTCAGGGGGAGGAGAAGCAAGCACACCCCGAGATCCTAGCCAGGAGCCATCAAGTACCACTGCTAACCTCTCCCTCCTCTCTTCCCTGTCCCCTCCCAGTTTCCCCTAAATAGCTAATGTAGGAAATCAGGATATTCTAAACTGGATCCTTTGCAATAAAGGATATTATTGAGATGACCGGCAAAATTTGAAAGGGTTCTCTTGATTAGAGACAGCAACGTATCACGATTTTGATGGTTAGACCATAGTTTTGTAGAAGATTGCCCTTGTTTGTGTAAAATACACACTAAAGAAAAATCATGTCAGCAGCTTACAAATGGAGGGGAGGATATCTTTGTGTAATACTTGTAAATTTCTGTAATTTTGAGATTGTTTCAACAATTAAAAATGTTTTAATTCTAGAATTTCCTCATAAAAATTGCATATTCTTTGACTCAGCAATTCAGTTTTAGCATTTTATTCCATAAATATATTGATATAAGTATATATGTACAATGATAGGTATGTTCGTACAATAAAATTTTTGTATTACATATATGTCAAGAAACTAAGTATTGTCCATAATATCAATGACAGAAATTTTCAAAATAGCAAAAAAATCAAAAGTTAACTGTCCATCCTTAGAAAACTGTAAAATAATTATGATAAACTCATGCAATGGATACTCTGCAACCATTAAAAAGAATGAATTGGGTCTATAATAATAGCAGTTAACATTTAGCAAATACCACATAGCAGGTTTCATCCAAGAGCTTTATGTATATGGATTCAGAACAATCTAGGATGTAGATTCTATTGCTATCCCTACCATGTACAGGGAGCAGTGAGCCCCGGGGGGAGGGGGGAAGGTAACACGCCCAGGGTTAACACAGCTAGACGGTAATACATCCAGCTGGGAGTCCAGCTCTTGCAGCTGGATCCACAGTCCATGTACTTATCCACACCCACAATAATTCCGGAACAACGCCCAAGACACCATTAGCAATGATTGCCTTTGGGGAGAGGGGTTGGGAGCAGGAACAAGAGCGAATTTGACTTTTCATTTTATACTGTTAATATTCTTTACCATATATCTTTATCATGTATCACTTTTGTACATTTTTTAAAACCCAGTCATTTAAGTAAATAAACACTGAAGTATAAAAAAAAAAAAAAAACTTCCACTCTGCCCTTAAGGGACTTACAGTCCTGATGCCAACTTTTAACAGGTTCATTGATTTTTACAAGCAATAGTAAAATATATGGTAAGAAAATGAAAAACATAGGAACGGGCTCATATGGGCTGTGGAAACTCGGCTTTAAGTTGCAACTGTTTACACACACACACACACACACACACACACACCAGTTGAAGATGCCTGGTGAGAGTTCCTATCCTAACGCAGCCCAAGGGCCTGAAACACCCAAACTCACTTGCAGTGCTTCCTGGGCAGGCCAGGTAAACACGAACTACAGTAGCATTTTGTGGCTTTTGAAGACTCCTTACGTATTATCCAATGTGACATCACAATGATCCTCATAAGGCTTAATTCCCTCGTCTGTAGTAGGTGTTCTCCTAACAGCACCGATTATGTATTTATTAATCGTCCTATCCCCATTTCGTAGCTATGGAAACTGAGTTGCAAAGGCAGCTCCCGCGGCGGGGGCGGTGGACCTTCCGTTTCATCATTTTTGATAAGCGAGAGGGAGGCGGGGGGAGCGCTCTGAGACGCCCAACTCCGCAAAAGAGAGGGGAGATGGTGGTGCCCTTGCTGTCCCCGGGAATTCCGAAGCACGGGCGGCCGGGGCTGGTGGCGGCGCTTGGGCCGTCTGGGTCTGAAGCGTCCCTGGGCGCCGAGTCCGGGCGGGAGGGTGCGGGGAGCTGGGAGCAGGGTCGCCCCGACCGCGTCCTCCGACGCCGCCCCGTCTGCTCTGCGCGCCCCGTGCGCGGACTCCGCCGAGACCTGCAGGCCGGTCCTCGGTAGGCAAGGCCTCGGCGCCCTCCCCGCGCGGGCTCCTGGCGCTGCGGGCTCCCCGGCCCAGCCGCGACCCGACGCCGGGCAGGATGGAGGGCTGCCAGAGGCACGGGCCCTGCGCGACGAAGCCGGGGACCCCAAGTCCCACTTACCAGAGGGCATTCCCACTCATGAGCCGGTGGCTTTGGGTAGAGCTCTCTCCCGAGCCTCGGTTTCCCCGTCGGTAAAGCCGGAGTAAACCGCGTTCCCCCGCGGGGTTGGGTGGGAACAGAAACACGGCCGGCGCGCTCCCAGGGCGCGTTCGGGCCAGCGGGTCCCCTGGCGCCGAGGGCGGGGCCGCGGCAGCCGCAGACCCCGACGAAGTCGCCGCAACTCCCGGGGTGGGCTCAACCCCCCTCCCCGCCGCCACCCTCCTCCCGGCGGTCGGCTTGCGGCGCGCACTCCGGCGCGCTCCCGGCACCCGCGCCCCGCGCCCCGCGCCCTACGCGCGGCACCCGGAGGCGCTCCCGGAGCGGGGCGGGACGGGCAGGGGCGGGGCTCGGCCCACGTGACCCGGCCGGCCGCCCCCGGACCTAGCCCGCGCCCCGCCAGCCCGCAGGCCCGGTGCCCCGCGCCCCGCCTGGCCCCCCTGCGCCCTACGTGGCCCCGTGCGCCCCGCGCCCCGCCTGGCCTGCGCCGGCCGTCCTGCCTCGGCCCAGTGCGCCCGGACCCGACGCCCTGCCTGCTCGCCTTCCTTTCCGTCGCAGGACCAGAGAGAGCGGCCCCGGGGGCAGCACCCGGGCCTGCCCGCCCCTAGAAAGGAGCCGGTGAGTGTGCAGCCAGAAGGGGGAATGGCGAGGCCAGTGTGGCGCCCTGGACTGGGGACCCAGGCAGAGGGAGGGTCCGTGGTGATGTGTGCAGCTCCACCCGGGTGAAAATGCCCCCGGCGGCTCCCAGGCCTTGGGCCAGGCTGTTGAGGAGGGCGCTCGCTTTCCACCAAACCCAGGCCTCAGGGATACGCCGATCCGAGCCTGGGTTCTCAGGGAGCCCATTTTGGGCAAAACAGTGGTTTCACTCAGAGCCTCCTGCGCGTCCGAGTGCAGACAGGGCTGAGGCTTCGGTCACCCCAGGAGTCTCAAGGCTGGACTCCCAGGGGCCCAAGGCCTTCTAAGAGTCTCCCACCTCCACTGCGGTGCCACTTGGAGGGGACAGAGCCCCGATGATGTTTTGCCACGGGAGGAGGGTCCTGACCTTCCTCGGGGCTTCCCAAAGCCCCAGCTTTATTAGAATCATCTTTTGTTTACATACAGCACTCCCTCCTTCCGCCTCCCCCCATCCACCTAGTTCTAGAGATGTGGGACCGGTTGGTGGGTGATGGGCATGGCATAGTGGACACGGGTCCCAGGTCCTGGCCTGAGCTAAACCTCCCTTACAAATCCCCTCAAGTTTCTGAGGCTTAGAAACCTGTGTTCTACTAACCTTAGCCCAATATTGAAAATTCCATTTTCAGTTGGGTTGGGGCTTTCACATTTTCTTTTTTTATGTGGTGTGTTTTTTAAAATCTTATTTACGTATTTCTTTCTGAGAGGTTGGAATGGTAATGGGGGAGGTGAGGCCCCCACTAGCCCATCATGTGCCGAGGCAGGCACTGGCCGTGGCTGTGAAGCCCACAGAAAGGGCGAGGGCTTGCAGGCCATGGGTAGCTGACCAGTGACACTGCCATTCCGATCCAGCTCCTTCACCTCTTTGCTGGACGTCCCTGCCTCCGCTTCATTGTTGGGCCACTCTGCGGACCCTAGCAAGGCTACAGCTTTCCTGGGCAAGAGCCCCATCCCCTCCCAAATCTCCAGGACCTCCCCATATCCAAAAAATGGGCACAGTGGTAAGTGCTCTGGAGGATTGACGGAGGACAGTTCTAGGAACAGGGAGGAGAAGTCAGTGGGTTTTATTGATTAAGGCATTAGAGACTGAAACATGAAAACCAGCTGAGTGGGTCTGGTGGGGGGCTTGGGGTGGTAAAGAGGTTTCAGAGCCCTGAAGGCTAACGGGAAAGGTGACTTCGGTGCCCTTGGATGACAAGGTGGTGCCTGCTCGTGTGTGTGCCGGCTTACGTGGTTGGGTCAGCCTCTGGGGCTGACTGTCTTGTTTGTTTGAGAAGCAACCTCTGGAGGAAGAGCCCCTCCAGCCCGTCCTGTAGGCTCCCCTTTTTAACACCCCGGCATCGTGCAGGGCTGGAGAGGGCTAGAGAGCTCACGAAGCCCAACCCTGTCTGGGACACAGATGGGAAAGCTGAGACCCAGAGAGGCGGGGAAGCTGTCCTAGGTCACAGGGCCAGCTGGTGCCTGAACCGGGATGGGACGCCAGCTCCTGACTCTTGGCCCTGTCCTCATCCTGCAGCCTCACCCCAGGACCCGCTCTTGCTGTGGACCCTGGGGCTGAGGCCTTAGCTGCACATGCAGAAACTATGTCCTTGTAGAGAAGAGCATCACCAGTGACCGCCCGGAGACCTGAGAGAGCAGAGAGAATGGGCGGGGGGGCGCGGGGGCAAGCTACAGAGTGCCCACCCACTTGCCCACCCGGTGCGGTTGCTGCTAGAGCAACAAGGGTACCTGGAGCACCTCGAGCAGGGGTCCGGGGAAGCTTCTGGGTGGAAACGCTCTCATTTTGCCGCTGACAAGGGCTGGGGCTTTGGTCGCTCCTAATGAGCAGCAAGCCTTGGCCACAGAAATAGCCACACTGGCCAGCGCGGAGGGTGGTGTTCGAGAAACAGCCACCAGGGTTAATACAGAGCACTCCCCAGGTGGCACATCCGCCTTCCCCCAGGAACGTGCCCGCACCTCTATCAGCAAGAGCACCTATCAGCCTCGACTCTGAGTCAGAGAGCAATTCCTGCCTCCTTTGTGAGTTGGGCATTTCATGAGAAACTTTGACTTGCTTCCCAGTTTTATTTGCTCAGGCGGGTGACCACTCGTAATCACCATTGTTCCAAGGCTCAGAGGGCAGCTGACCCAGGAGGTTGGTTGAGCCAAGTGTCATGTAGGAGGAGCCTCCGCCCACACTTCCCTTGAACTTGGCCAGACTATGAACTCAGTTCTTTAACAGATAAACACAACACACCATCGAAATTCAGTGGTCTGCATCTGGGATATCCATTTTATAAAACCCATTCCACTGTCTTTGCAACTTGTTAATCTCCATGTCATCCTTGCTTTTCTCCATTACAGCTATGAAACAATCAGGGAGGGCTAACCGTCTCAGAGATTAAAAATGTGATTAAATCTGAGCAGTGGAACGGGCGAAATTGAAAGCATTTCACGCAGGAACCTCATGACTTGGAGCCTGGTGGAGACAGACCTCCCCCCCACACACACGCCCTGGGAGGTTCCCCCACGCGGGGGCAGGAACAGAAGCATGCTCCCCCGTGACTGTCGAGGGTGGAGGGGTTCCAGGGGCGAATCGGGGTCTCGGGGAGCAAACACAGTGTGTAGTGATGGGAGACGGATAATTGGCTGAAGGGCTGTCCACTCCAGGAGCCCACGTGGGTCACACAGTGCGGCCGTACCTGGCAGATGGGCCCCCATCAGCATACCAGCCCGAGGCAAGCCAGATGGGTGCCAGAAAAGCCTCCCCAAGATGCCAGTGACTTTTGGTCAGGTCAAAAGTATTCTCCATTCAATTTAAGGTTACTTTCCAAAGATAGTTTTCAAAAAGCACTAAAAGCGTCTGCATGTCCTTAATTCACTAAGTGGGAAGATTCAGTCACAGTAGATAAAGACCCGGGTCTTGGGCCATTGTCTCTCAACCCCTGGCTGTGCTGGGAACCTCGCTCCCCCCGCCCCAACCCCGCAGCATGGCAGAGCTTCCTACAGGCGACTCTGAACTTTGGAATCCCTCTTCCTTCCCTCCTCTCCCTCTACCCCCGAAGTTGGGTCGGAGCTAAACATAAACACTAGAGTAAAATTTTCAGGTGACGTTGAACTGCTTGGTTTGGCTGTGTCGGATGCCTCTTTTTCACCATCTAGATCATGTCGGTTCTGGCTTTATTAAACAGAGCATAGCGAACCTAGGTTCACTTTCCGTAATAACTCAGCGTCATGATCAGAACTTCCAAGAGGGAGCTAAGCCACGGAGCCACAGTTTCTGTAGAAGCAAGTGGGGCCGCCTGCCGCCCTCGGCCTGCTGGTCTCCCCTGTTCACATCTCAGCCTATTTCTGAGGGGCTCACCCCCTCCTGGCAGGCACCCGCTCGCCAGAGGTGCCCAGACCCTCCAGGTCCAGCATGCATCTTGTCCCCGGGGCCTTGGTGGTCTTTGCTGTCCGAGCTGGGAAACCAAGCAGCCCTCCTTATGAGCAAGAAGCTTCCAAGAGAAGGAACAGTCTGGAAGAGGGCCCCAGGGCAGAGGGGAGACACACACATGTCCTCAGCCTCGGGGGGCAGTTCTGATGGCTAGCAGCCTTCCCATCCATGCTTACCAGCCTCTAGGCTCTCATGGGAAAGAGTATACTAGTTTCCTTTTGTTTGGCTTCTCTCGCACCCATCCCTCACCATCTAGGATTCTTAAAGGAAGCCTGGAATTGTGTCTCTTTGGAGAGGAGACGGCGCTAACTAGTCAGCTGATGCTCACAGATCTTTCATCTGCTCTGAAAAGAGAACTTTAATGAATGTGCTTCTTAGGATACAATCTTTTTTTCAAAAATGGTTTAAGAAAAATGAATAAACCCCAGTGATCCATCAAAAAAGAACTTTTTCTTTTTAAAAACCAGAAATCATATATTCTAGGAGAACGGCAACAGTGAATGCCGTTTTAACACTTTCCTGTCCAAAATCTAAATTCAGCTGTCAATGAAAATAGTTTGAATGACTCTGGCACGTCAAGGCAACTTCGGAATGCATCGTTCACGGTCAGCATCGTGCTTGAAGGGGGAAATACTGAGGGTTTGGTGCAAAAAGTATTAAGAAATTTTTCACTGATTTAAGGCAGAAGTCAGGGAATACTTTTGTTGAGGGCCACGGGAACTCTGAGGAAGTTTTCATTGTAGATGGTATGTGGATGCTGCCCTGAAAAGGTCACTTGTCATAATTGACCCCTTGTGAAACAAATCAGAGTCCATCCCCAGCACAGAGCAAGTTTTGTTGACTTCTCTGTGACGAACGCTTGAATGGTCAGCAGAACTGGAAGAGAGTTGCTCCCCAGAACTCAGAAGCAAAATCAGGTCTTTCATGGGCTTGAAGAATTCCCAGGGAGTGCAGAAAGATGGGACCCCTGCTCTGACGTTCCTGAGAAACGGATTTCAGTCCTCCGTGAAGACTTGTCGAAGGCACACAGCAGTTCTCAAACTCTGTTGTCCACGGCACAACGGTCACCCAAACTGCATCTTCGCCTGAGCCTTGGTGCCCAGAGGAGAGCTGGCGTGGGTGTGGCCGCCTCACCCTCGGGCCGAGGGGCGCCCATGTGCAGCTCGTAGGGGACCAGAGCACTGGGAGCGCGGAACAGTACCTGCTGTGTACTGGGAAAACACAAAGTCTCTGTCCCTCCTGGAGCTTGGCAGGGACGGATGTGGCCACAGCAGTCACACCAGAAGGGGCAAAGAAATGTTCAAAGGACGGGCATGGTGGGGTGGAGGGGTGAGCAGGGTGGTCCCCTCTGGGCAGCACCCCCGGCCCCGTGCGCTCGAATCCCCGGGCGAAGTCCTCCCTCGTGTGATGATGCCTCTGTGTTGTACCCAGAGTAATGGCAGCCTCGGCATCTGTGAGTCCCGTGTACCTGCTCTGTGGGAAGAGCCAGCAGGAGGGCCGGTCTGTCCTCATCCTCTGCTCAGCCAAGCCCTTCTCTGTCCCTGTCCTGCTTCACTAGAGCTTTGCTGCTCACAGGGGTCCCGGGACCAGCAACATCGGCCTGCTCCAGTGTGAACATGACCCCCTGGGAATCTCGTTGAAATACGAATTCTGAATCAGGAGGTCTGGGGCAGGGCCTGAGAATCTGCATTTGTAGCAAGCTCCCAGGAAACGCTGCTGGTCCATGAGGCACACTTGTTTTGTTTTGTTTTTAAGATTTTATTTATTTGAGAGAGAGAGAGCGAGCACAAGCAGGGGGAGCAGTAGAGGGAGAGGGAGAAGCAGGCCACCCGCTGAGCAGGGATCCAGACACGGGGCTCGATCCCAGGACCCCAGGACCATGACCTGAGCTGAAGGCAGACGCTTCACCAACTGAGCGACCCGGGCAAACCAAATAGCATGCAAGGTTCTAAGGTTCTGCTTATCTTGGCTTTTGGCATTTGGACTTTCCTTCCTCTGTCCTTTTAACATGGACTGGGATCCGGTTTAATGTCTACAAATAGGGCATAAAATCACCTGAAGTCTGGCTTCCTGGCCAGCAGGTTACCTAGAAACAGGGCGTCACACAATGCCGCCGTGTTAAGCAGTTGAATGAAGTCAGGATCTCGGAGGAGGGTGAGGCCCGGGCGTCGGGGCGACCAATGTGCGCCCGGGCTTCAGCGCTCCCACAGCCGACCTCCCTCGGGTAAACCGAGCTCCCGCCGACCGTGCTGCCCACGGGCTTGGTAGCCGCTCCCTCATCTGCCGGCACTTCGGCCCCACCGTGGGAAGAATGCGCACGCCCCCCTTGCCCCCCACAGACATAGTGACCTCACAGGCGTCACATTGGGGCCACCGCTCAGCAGGCCAGGGTGTGTACCCGCGACTCCACAGCTTGACCAGGAATTTGGGCAGAAGTTGCCTCTTTTCGGCGGTGTTGCTTCCACCAGGGGTTCTAAGGCAAAAAGCCCATGGATGGAGCACATCTCCAGCATTTCCCCAGCATTTCTGGGGTTCCCACTGCAGAGCACGACCCTGGGATGGGGGAAAGCAGCACGCCCCTAGACACTGACATCGCCAGCGTTCTCTCACGGTGGAGGGACAGCGGCCCCGTGGCTCAGTGTGTGAGTCCCAGGGGTGCAGGAATTCCACATATAAACCTGACACGTTTCAGCCACACAAATCTGCCTGTTTTAGTAAAGCCTTCCGCCCAGGTCCAGACAAACGGCCCGGGATCTCGGTACATTCTGTTTTGCCTCTTACTTTATGGCTTAGGCGCTGTCCACAGGCTCACGGCGTGACCACCGGTGATCCTGTCTTTTCCAGGTGTGATCCTGACAAGCAGAGATGGGGAGAAAACTGGATCTGTCCAAGCTCACGGACGAAGAGGCCAAGCACGTCTGGGAAGTGGTTCAGCGGGACTTTGATCTGAGAAGGAAGGAAGAGGAAAGACTGGAGTAAGTGTGGGGGGCCGAGCCCGCCACTCCGGTGTCCTCTGCAGGGGCCTCGCGGGGCGCCCAGGGCGGGCAGACAACGGGAAGCATGGGTGCAGGACACCGGATGGGAAGCCGGCTGCTGGGAAACGTCCCGCTTTCTGGGCTCGGCTTCCTCCTAATTAACATGAGGGGACCTGACTTTCCAGCCTGCATTCAGGTGTCCCCTGAATAGTTTCATTTCCTCTTGACCCAGCTTCAGGGTCACGTTGTCTCCTGAACCAGGTGATGCTTTGGCCACGACATGGCGAGCTAGAGGTGATAAAATAGGGAAACACCCAGAATGTCGGGATGGAGGGGTTTTAGGATCGAGGCTGGCTCTGTCTTTCCAGCGTGTTGAATGGTACCCATCCTCGAATGGGCAGCCATGGATGGAGTCAGCACCCACCGCCATTATTTACCCCCTTCACCTGTAACGCTTAGCTGGGCACCGTGCTCCTTTCTGACCCTTTCTTGGTGTCCGTGGCAGCTGGTAGACCTATTGAGAAGGAGACCCTCGAGCAGATTCATGGAGGAGGGGGGCAGGCACTCCAGGCGGAAGCAGAGAGGAGGTAGGAGAGGAGTGGGGTGCCAGCCGTGTGGGGCCTCTATGGGACTCAGATCTTCGGAGTCCCAGCCGCCATCAAGCAGGGGAACAGTGAGACCTGGCTGCTGCCCTGCAAGCCGTGGGCTCCGAGAAACGGTCAGCTGTACTTAGAGGATGGAGCCAGCAAGTCTGCCCACGACCCGTCGTGCGAGTACCACGGGCGACTCCAGGGTCGGGGCCTGAGTAGCTGGGAGGATGGGTTGTCTCTGCCTCCGCTGGGGAAGGCGAGGTGGAGCAGGTTTGGGGGAACCAGGAAAGGCTTCAGACAGGTTGCGGTTAGGTTGCCTGTGGGACATCAGGGGGACAAATGAACACGCATGTGCTGCCGGGAGCTCAGAAGGGAGTGTGGAGTTGTCACCAATAGATGGTATTTGTGAGTTTCCTGGGGCAGGTGTACTATAATCACTGGGAGTTCAGCGGCTTACGATGCGTACATGTCTCATGGTTCTGGAGGTAGAAGTCTTCAGATCAAGGTGTCAGCAGGCCTGAGTTCCTTCTAGAAGCTCCAGGGACGAATCTGTCCATGCCTTCCCCAGCTGCCAGAGGCGCCCACACTCCCTGGCGCCCAGTCCTGCCTCTGTCCTCAGGGCGGCCAGCCTGGCATCCAGCCCTCACTCCGCTTTCGTCCTCCTTCTCCCTCTGCCCCTTGTAAGGACCTGTGTTGACACTGGGCCCGCCCAGATAGTCCAGGGTGACCTCCCGCCTCAAGATCCTCAACTTAATCACATCTGCAGGGGCCCCTTTGCCAGGTGAGGTGACATATTTACAGGTCCCGGGAACCAGGAACATAGGACAGTTCTCACGTGGGAGGAGTGTTATTCGACTGACCCCAGTGTGTCGTCACCAGGCAGGAGGAGACCCCTGCAGGAGGGAGTCCAGAGAGAGAAAGACAGGGCCCCCAAGGAGACAGAGAAGGACCAGCTGTGCGGGGAACTCTGGGTCCCAACACAGAGCAAAGTCCATAACAATGGACAAGCCACTAAGAGAAACAGGCGTGGTTCTGGCGGGCGACCCCGGTGTCAGCGGGGAGGGGTCTGAGTCGGTGTCGCCAAGGCCTCCCGCTGCCCCCTACCCCGCCCCCACCCCCGCCTTTCTGCCGTGGGCTCCTGGTCACCCCCTGGGTTTGGTCATGAGGCCGCTTCCACCCTGCTGGCCTCTGGGGACTGCCAGCCCCTAAGGCGCCCCCTCGAGACCTCACACTGGAGCCCACAGGAGGCCTTGATCTGACCCGACCTCCAGGTCCCAAGTGGGGGCCAGAGCTGCCCGCCCTGCGCTCCGCCCCTTCTCCCTCTGCTTCTGATGACCCACTTCCCCACATGCTGAAGCCCCTCCCTCTCTTTCCTTTCTTCCTGTGAACCCTCCAGTGCCCTCTCACTCTTACTCACAGCAGCTCCCCTGCCCTGGCTGTGGCCGCCGGGCCCTGCAGAGGGCCACGAGCTGTGCCAGCAAAGCCAGCCTGGCCTTCCCGCTTGGCACACCCCCTTCCCCTCGGATGGACCAGACCCTGCCTCCAGGCAACCCAGCGGTTGTCGACTTTTATTTTAAGTATATATAGAAACACAGATAAATGGGAAGGAGGGGAACCCAGCTCTCAGGGAGCAGACGGAGGACCACCTGGGCCAGGTCCCAAGAGGCAGCCTCTTTCCCAGAGCCCCTTGAGCTGGGCTGCTCCACCTTCATCTAGACAGCTGAAGCGGTCTCGCAGAAATCCCTGTGTTTCTTGCGTGAAGGTAAGTCATATTCCTTGGGTCATTTCACATTGCCAAGAGGAGACAGGCCCAGCTGATCTCTCGACGCTGTTGGAAACGGAAGGCTCCTACAAGGATGCGGACCATGACTCCCCCGGTCCTGCGTGCAGCCTGTGGCCCAGGCCAGGCCCCCGGGGCCAGTAATGGTCAGGGTGCCCCCCTCATTCAGCAGCGTCTGATGCTGTCTGCTCAGAAAGGGCCAGTCGTGGAAGTGGGAGGTGGGGTGTGGGGGGATTGGCCCGCTCTGCCGTGTCTACTGGGCCTGCCATGTGCTTGGGGTGGGCTCGTTGAATACCCGCTCTCAGACCGGAGGAGGCTGTCTGGGGGGGTGTCAATGCCGAGCAGTGCTGTGAGCTGCAGAGAGGCCATGGCGGGGAAAGTCTGTGTCACATGAACATTGAGCCAAGCACAGTGAAGCCCACTGGCCTTACCGTGCAAACAGGGCTCTAGCAGGTGATACGTTTGGGATGTAAAGAGTCATTCTGGGAGGGAGGTGGAAGGGAAGGGCTTTTACAGTTCTTATCATTTTTGATGGTTTCGTCTCTTGTTCACTGTGCTGTTAGTTAAATATGCAGCAAAAACTAAAGCCGCCCCTGACTGTGAGGAACCTTTTCTGCAGTGTCCCCCCGACCCTGGGCCGCCGCAGGACCCGGGCATGTGGTCCCGAGGCACAAGGGTGGGCGTGATGAGCGCCAGGAGGTCAGGACACGTGGGTTCAAGTCCAGCCCAGACAGGCAGCTTTGCCGAGAAAGGGCACGGCTGCAACCAGCCTAAAGATAAGGACTCTGGGTTCTTGACACCGGACTTGGTTGACAGAGCAGCTAACTCGAGTTCTCTGCTCCGTGAACCAGTCACGGGCCAAGTGGAGAAATCGGTCATCCGGAGACCACGAGCTGGGTAGCCATGTGACAAACCGAGCAGCTCGGGAATCGCTCCAATGGGTTTCTGATGTCTTGGCCATCCTCCAAAAGGGACGCTAAATGGAAGGCTCGGCTCAAGGAACCTACCACAGTCACTGATGGAACTGAGTGAACAGGGAAGAAATTGTGAAACCAAGAAAGACGTTCACTAAATGGAAAGAACTTTCCTATCCTGAATATGCATCAGGTGGACGCTGTGTCTGGGCCTGATTCGCCAGGAGCAAATTTTTTTTTTTTTTAAGATTTTATTTATTTATTCATGAGAGACAGAGAGAGAGAGAGAGAAGCAGAGGGAGAAGCAGGCTCCCAAGGAGCAGGGAGCCCGATGCGGGACTCGATCCCAGGACTCCGGGATCATGACCTGAGCCGGAGGCAGACACTTAACCGTCTGAGCCACCCAGGCGCCCCCGCCAGGAGCAAATTTGCCAAGGGGCAGTTTGCTAAACAACCAGCTCACCGAACATACCAATTGGAAAACAGACAACAACGATATTTCTTTTAATATTTACAAGTTAACAGAAATGCATATTAGGTGGATTTCTCCCCAGACGTGGAAGTGCCAATCCGCTGTAAAGGATGTAGGGACAGGGCCTGGGTAAAGACTCCAGCACCTGTTCCCAAGCCGTAGAAGCAACACATCTTTGGGTCTCCTCTGTCAAAGCACATGACAAATGAGCTGGCCCAGATCCCTGATATTTGGGAGGATAGACAACACAGATGCCTTCCCTCCAAATCGACTGGAAGGAGTTTTCCTAGGTTCTAACTCATGAGTGGCAGGCACCACATAGAGAGCATCCTGAATGGGGGGCTTTCCTTGCAGACTGTTTCGGGAAATGGACGAGAAGGAAGGGGGAGGCCATGCCGTCTTTGATGTAGCCCCAGGCACATAGAAATCTCTCCCTGCAGTTGGCGTGTGGGACCAGGGACTTGGGAGTGGGGTGTTTACCGTACAGTGTGTCTTGTTATTCCTGGCTTCCTCCCATCAGGATGTGATGCTGCACTCCAAAGAATCAAAAATTCAAAGATATACAAAATTAGGATGTTAAAAACCTTGGCATCAGTAAGTGCTTTAGGATAGATTTAACTTACTACCTGTTTCCTACCATCGAGTCCTGAGCAGTGGGCTATATAATGAGGACGTGTGTCTAGCTGTGGATGAACTTCGAGCCTTAAAGTCGGGCAGACCCTTGTGTGAGAGCATGGTCCTCTTTATGCCCAGTCTGCTACCTGGTGCAGGGCCTGGGCTGTGAGCCATCCCGGGTTCTAGGGAGACAAAACATAGGATTATCTTGGGACGCCTAGGTGGCTCGGTCGGTTAAGCATCTGCCTTTGGCTCAGGTCATGATCCCAGTGTCCTGGGATCTGCCTGTATCCGCTCCCTGCTCAGCGGGGAGCCTGCTTCTCCCTCTGCCCCTCCCCCCCTCCGCTCTTGTGCTCTTGCTCTCACTCTCTCTCAAATAAATAAATAAAATCTTTAAAAAATGTAGGATTATCTCAGTGACACAGAAGAGTGTTTGGTGGCATGATGAGAGGATATTCTGATCCAGCAAGGATCTTAAGAGTGAAGAACTAGAAAGACCCTAATGTCCAAAATTACAAGCTTTTGCTAAATAACCAACTTGAACCATGAATTCAACAATGGGTCACCTGGCGCCCATTAAAAATAAAGCTGTAGCAATAAATCTTCATGACCAGTTCATAAGGTATTAA